TCACTGTTTGTGGGACTGTGTTTCACTGATGTATCAAGATGTATAAAATTATTTGCCATAATTTGAGCTTGCCAAATCATACAAGGGTGTGTAACATCTAATACACGTGGGTTTGCCTTCGATTGCATGCGGTGTGCACAGAGGGCAGAGGGACCTCTGCACTCTACCTCCCCTATTTAGCTTTCTTTTGATGCTTACACAGCCTGCACTCAAGCACTGTGTGACAGAGTCATGAAAGAGACTGCTAAAAAGCAGATGATAATATTAAAAGTTTACGATGTCGTGGGGCCACATTCCTAGCTGTCCAAAGCCATTGCTGCTTGCAAGGCTGCAAGGACCTATTCACTGGCTTTAAAGTTCTGTAGTAGAATCAAACACACTCAGTTAATTTCTTCAAAGTGCTATTGTGAGGGTAAGTGTGAAATCCCTTTAAAATTATAAAGCAATATACAAATGCAAGAGAATATGATCATTAATATAATTCATTAATTATATGCACATTTCCATTCATTAACAAAATACTCATCTAGTACTCATCATGTAGAAGCACAATGTCAAATATCTGATGGTGACAAAGTTGCCTGAGACCTGTTTAATTTTTGTTTGAGAATGTAAGCAGTGATTCATCCAGTGAGCAATATCTCTTTGAAATAGGTCCTAAATCAGAAGGGTAACATATAAAGCCTTTCCATGTTAAATCTGCAAACAACTGAATTTCACTGAGTAAGACTGTGAATACATATATCTTTCTACACAAAGCAAAGATTATAATTCCTTAACCTATTCAGCTGAAAGAAATCTTACCCAGTAATCAATGGCTAAATCTGTGTAGCTCAAAGTAATGCGCATACTTGTTAAGGGTTTACTTAATTTTTATCATTGCAGAAAGGATATTAGAATAATTTATATCCTAATAAGATTTCTCTTCTTTTATTCCTATTCATTTCACTTATTGTTTGTGCTGTCAGTGTTTTGGACATCTTGAGGAAAGAAATGAATAAATATTTTGGTGAATTATATTGACCAAATAAACAAGGTGCATGGGCTGTATGTGTTTATATTTTTACTTTCCTTTGTTTTGTTTTTTGGATATTTTTGCCCCTAAATCACATTAGAATCACAGCATTAGACTCTGCTGTTTGAATTTCATTGTGAGAATTTTTTCCTGGCTGAATAACTTCTACATTACTTTGTTATTATTTTATGGGGCTTTATCGAATACTATAAAGAAAAAAGCAGGAAGAGAGAATCATCAATAAAGCTACATTCAGGATCTATAGACAAATGCTCATTTTACAGTTCCTGCTCTTATTCTATATGAGCCTTGATGACACAAAAAGGAATACTGGTTTTTCATTTTGTTTTGTTTGGATTTTTCTTTTTTAATAACCAACTCTTGAACAAGAGTTCGAAGCTCCTTGAGAATAACAAATTTATCTTATTTCTTAAGCACATGACCTAGGTCTAATCATGTTGATTAACTAAGTAAGTTAACTAATTATGATAACACCAGTAACATCCACTAAAACTACTGAATGAGACTCCAGCCAGTACTAAGTGGCCTCCAACAAGAATGTTTAGAAGTCCAGCAAGCACCAGCAGCAAGCATGAGCTAAGAACCGGGCTACACTGTGTTTTTTTGTGGTTACAGGTAATTTTGTAATGTTGCTCCCCATAGAGCAGTGATTTCCCAAACACAGTTGTGTGTGAATATGTTTGCAGGTTCACAGCAGAAGCAAAAAATTTCTTTTAAGAGAGACAATGTAAGGACTCTCCTAAATTTAGGTATATTCCATGAGAAGTATTTCATTCTTCCATTACGGTCACTTCATCTTGCAGTATAAACCTTTTCCTTATTGTATGAAATAAGGGGTAATACAACACTGGGTATGTTGACTCCCTTTGCTGAACTTAGCGTGGAAGGAACTGACAATTCTGTTAATCCTCGAAGTGGTTAGATGCTTTGTTCCTTCATGAAATCTCAAGGTAAATTCACCGATGGACTGCAGAATCTAGCCTCACAGCCCGCTCTTGGGACAGTGAGTGGGATCTGCAAAAACAAGTCCCCATGAGTTCCTGTCACTCTCATGACTGCCTGCAACAAAGGCAATGAGATCCACACCTCTCCTCCTGGTGTCTGTAACTTCCCCTGTGCTGCTGACCCAGGTAGAGTCCACATAGTCTGCTTCTAACTAACCTCAGTGCTCACAGGGGCTGCACCATTAACCGAGTTTTCTGTACTAAATGATTCTTTAGATTCTTTTCTCTTAGAAAGTCTTCAGAATTTCTCGGTACCCAAGCCCAGGTGGCATTCCAAAGCACTGAAGTGAGGGGAGGTAAAAGCAGGGGATGTCCCAAGTGATGGCAAAGGCACTAGCCGTCCTCCCTGTACGTGGTCCTGCTGTTCACGATGGGATGCTAATTTCTATCCACAAAGCCTAGTTAGTCAAGAAATGGAAACTCTCCACATGACACAGGGCTGTTTAAGATCACACTGTCTACTCTGATCGCACACACATGTGCACTGAAGTTGTTAAAGAAAACTCACTCTGATGCTGGCACCCCAGCTGTCTGAGAGTTCAAACGCTTAGATTGTCATGTGCTTTCTGCCATTATTCATGCTGAGAAGATCTTTTCATCTTTTTTTTAAGTTGGTCAAAGAAAACAGGGTGGTGCTTTTCCTTAAAATAGCCTGAACAAAAATTAGGAATGAGATAACATCTGTCACAAATGAAAACTCTACATTGTCCTCATTCACTGAAAATTCTCCCAGCAGTCTCAGCAAAAGCACTCAAGCCTGGCAGGCAACTTTTCTATTGCGGGGAAAATGCCACGAGGCTGGACAAATGAGGAAACTGAGCTTTAAACAGATATACCCCTGATCCAACATAAGAGGTGATTGAACAGCAAACTCAACTCAATGAGATCTTTGTTTAGCAGAGAAATTATATATATGCAATGTCAGAGAGTCCCAGACTTGCTTAGCTACATGTCTGAGAATGCTGAAAATAGCCCTTCCTCAGCGTGTGATGCAGATGTAAAAGAACTGACCTGATTTGCACTATTTGTATCAGTAGTGAATGATGAAAATGTGTTTCCCAAACCTTCCATGGTGAGCAACCTAGCAAACATGGAATTCAATGGGGGGAAAATTACATGTTCAAAAGAATGCAGACTACCTGGATGTTATAAATCAGTTACCAGGGCCCCTGGCTGATGTCAGAATACATCTGTAGCATTATAAAACTGCTGTCCATCTATAAATATAATACAAAGAACACTGGTCTGGCATCTCAGGCATTTATCAGAATTCATTCATTTATTTATTCATTCATTCAAATGAACAAACCTAAGGAGAGTAAAGTCTGCCTGAGAAGTTAGTTCCTAGGCTCATACACTGCTCTTGACATCGACGACATTCTGAAAAGAGAGTTCTGGATCTGGAATTAGTGAAACTGGAATTCTGTTCCAAATTCTGTCACAGAACTAGCACCGTCTTAGCTGAGTGACTTTACTTTCTCAGCCTTTCTCAGTAACATCACCAGTAAAATAGAGAAAGTAGACTTGATCTTCTCTCCGAGCTTTAGCATCTTTAACATGCTCCAATTCAAGTTGATGAAATATCAAGAGAAGATTTGATTAGCAGAGTTTCCACAATAAATTTATATCATCCTCTTTCCTGTACATTGCACATCTTCTATTGAGAGACCACTGCCTAAGGATATGGGGAAAGTGGAACATAATGTTTAAAACTAATCTTTGACTTAGAAGGGTCTGACACTGTGGTTTGGGACGAGGACACATGCATGAAACTGTCACACAAAGCAAGCAATGCTGAATACCTAGTATGGAACGCAAACACTACACAGCTTTCACAAGAAAGTTCCAAGATTTAGGGCAGAAGGAATCCTCAAGGAAGAGGTAAAGCTTTAGCCTAATCTCTGAAGGTAAGAAACTAAATTTGAGAACTCATAATCCTTATATATCTAAGATTATCATGTAACAACAATTAATGTGAATAGCTAATAAAAGCCCCACCACTATATATATAATTGTTCATATAATACAATAATTTCAACTTATAAAAGACTTGTTTATCTAGTAGATATTTCATGATCATTAATTACAGATTCCCTTTGAATAATCAATTCAGATAAGCTAACCACTTTATATGTGACATAGTAACTAATTCTGGTTTAAACAAAAATTTTAAAATAAATTGTAGATAACTGCTGAAAACAATTGCTAACAAGCTATTAGAATTTTTTCCTTGAACTTCTATTGTCTTCTAACCATTGGTAATTCTGAGATGAAATGCAGGATAATAAATAATTAAAGCAGTTATTCAGCAACTATGAAGAACTTTGCTCTTCAAAATAAAAGATAGAGGATAGGAAACAAGGAGATAGACTTTGGGACTTTGGGGTGGAGGGAAATGAGAGAAAGAGCAAGGGAAGGGAAGTAAAAAGGATCAATATGCAATATGTATATTTACCAGTTGCCCAGGATGAATGTATTTATTTTGCATTGCAAACATATACTAATAAAAAAGGGGAGAAATAACCCTGCTGCTCTTATGACGCTGACCTTTTAAATTTTAAACTGATGGACTCAATTAAGAAAGTAGATGTAACAACAATCCTGCCACCACCAAATAAGTTTATTAGGTTGGACATTTCATTCATATCTCAACAAATTTCAATAAAAATACAACCAAATTTTACTCATGGCAAGTGAAAAAGGAACTCATGTGATATGTCCCTCATTTTGGTGTCTCCACAAGGATTCCAATCCCCAGGAGAGAAGAGAACTTCTACTGGAAAAGACTAGTGTCACATAGTTAGGCCACCCTGGGTTTATATCTCTGATAATGTTTGAATGATGGATGGATAGTTAGATAGATGATAGATAAATAGAGAGATAGATAGATAGATAGATAGATAGATAGATAGATAGATGTAAAATGGGAAAGTACTTATTTAGAATTAGTGTCATACCTCATTTTGGATTAGTTTCTTCTGATTTCTGCCTCACTCGCTGCCTGCCTTGTATATGCTTAAACCTGTAGACAAACATGAATCAGTTACATAAAAGCACTAATTAACATACACCACTTGAAGACAACAAACCAATCTTTTCATCTATTTTAAAATTCTAATTGTGAATCCTTAAAATACACCCCATTTTAAACCATCAATGATTCAGTTTTAAAACATTGCCAGAACCTGCTTTGCTAATCTGCAAACTCAATAATTCTCGCCCAAACCTCAGCACACTCAGCAACAATTTAATAGCAAATATCTCTAGTGGGACCTCATATTACTAAGATTCTATTACTTTTTATATTACCAAAAAAGTGCTAGTACACTCTAATGTATTATAAATAGTTCCGACCAGGCAGTGCTTCTCAAAATATGTGAAAGTTTATTTTTTGCACTCGGTAACCCGGAATTTTTATCTTGTGTATTTATACCCTATAATGTGCCCTTCTACAATTAGTGCAAAATGTACATTACCAACCAACATCCTGAAGTTTCCAGACATTTTATTTCCGTTAATATGATTACTAGGGGTGTTAAGTTGTATGTTTAATAACCCAATCTTGCTAGTAAATGCAAATTAGAAGCATATCTTAAAATAATTGCGTGTATGCCTAAAATGGACTCTTTTAATTATATTCTTCTTAGACTGCCATGTGGCCTTTTTTGATTGAGGGTATTTGGGTGTTAGGTTTTTGAAGATTTTCAGTTTCAAGTTTAAGGGGCAGATATAAGTACTATATGCACTTATTCAATAGCTGTTTTAAAACACCTCAAATGACCTTTACAAAGTGTATACCCACCTATTCACTGTAATGCTTCATATCTTGATAGATATCTTCATATCTGTGAAACTGCTCAACTTTTGAAATGTTTGAGATTTTCTCTTTATAGTCCAACTTGGAAAGAACAGCTGGGATGAGGGAAAGGAGAAAAGAAAGAAAGAAGGAAGTAAAAAAAATGTATATACATATATATATATATATACACACCCACACACACAAGATAGCTAAGACAATTGTACTACCACTTTCTAATGGTTTATTGAAAGGAACAGCTAATGTTTAATTGTTTGATCACTCTTGCATGCCTAATCTGGGCTTCTTTCAGAAGAAGTGCGGCCCTGCTCCCTTGCTGTTTCCATGGTACGATCTGGACTGCATCCAGCAGAGGACCGACTGCCTGACAGGACTAAAAGGACACAATGTAGTCTCTGATGCACTTGTCAAGTGCCGGTCAGTGGTGAAGGTCCATGTACTTTTTCTGGGTTTACAGGAAGAAGTTACCTTATCTCCCAATTTCCCATCCAGTTTCTGGCAAACTCAGCACCTACTACTGTTCCAAAAGTGCATTTGCGCTACAGGTGTGGTGATCATCAAGCCTGATGGCCAGCTGCTTAGAGTCATGGACAATTCAAGCTCCTTCTTTTACAGACACGGAAAGCAAAACCCAGAGAGCTATATGATTTTCCAAAACTAGACAGCTGTCTCGAATCTTCCTGCTTTCTTTAGAGGCTGAGGGCGGGGGCAGTGCTCAGCAAATCTTTCTGGGTTCTACAGCTATTACGTAGCTCCTAAGTGACAATTGAAGCTAAGCTGGCAGAGCTAGAGGGTGGAGCAGTGCATTCAGCTTTGGTTTTCAGATGTCATAGGAGTGAAAGCGTCTCAGTTGAAAGAAAACCTGTTCAATTTAAGCGTTAGTCTCCTTCTAGGGAGGCACAATCTAGACTGCAAAAGTGAGGAAATGCCACGCCAGTGTAGACTGTTGCTGTGGGCAGCAGTGTGAGGTAGAATGTTGAAAAACACAGAGCCAAATGAGTCCGCTTGGTATTGTCCCAGCTCACTCGGGGACAGTCTCCGCACATTCCCTCTTCTCCCTCTAAGACTCCTCTAGAATATTTCCCCACATTCCTGGATGGGCTCGCTGTCTTCTCCTTCATCTTCCTCAGTTGTTTTTCTTGTATAATAGTTCCTTTCTGGACATCTCAGATTTGCACCTCTGCTTTTAATTGTGTGCTGTGTATCTCTCTTACAGCATATAATATGTTTGTACTGTACAGAATATTTATATGTGATAGAAATAGAGATGGAGATAGACAGAGAGAGAGAGAGAGGTAGATCCAGAGTGTGAAGAATATCTTGTTTCAGTCCTCTGTATCTGCAGCTGTTGTCAGTTACGAAAATAATTAGAATGAATGGGTTGGTTGTGTCATGGACAGATTTGGGACATGAGAGAAATCTTCTGCTATCCTGGATCTCGTGTCCACCTCCCACCACTCCAGTTAAAGAGAGGGGATACTAAAATTATTTCCCCACATAAGTGCCATGAGGAGTAATGGACAAAGGTCATGTACCTCCAGATGGAAAGAAACTAGAATCTATTCAACTCCAGAGGTGTTCACAACCTTAAAGTCCTACTCATCATACTATGTATTCTACATGAATCAACCAAGCTGTCAAAATCCCTTGTTGAGAAACAACATCATAGTTAAACTTGTGTGTGTCTGATTTATTTCACTTAACAGTATGGTCTCAAGGTGCATTCTTTTTCCTGCAAATGACTAGTTTATCGCTCTTTATAGCAAAGCAGTACTCTATGAGAAACTCAAACTATAAGTGAAGAGCAAAATAAAAGATAAACAATAGAAAGTAGGACCACAGATATTTCTCAAACAGGAAGGGGATCAAGAGATGGAGGAAATGGGGAGGGAGAGGGAAAGGGAGATGAAAAAAATGAATGAAGATGTGTTAGGTACATGTTTCAATGCTTGACAAGGAATGTGAACATCATGTACGTAAACATGTATTAATTTTAAAAATCCTAGTTGACAACATAACTGGGTAACACGATGTTCACCTCTAGGTGTTTCCTCTTAACACTGGTAATGATCCACTGGTAACAGTTCTTTTGGTTGTCCTCCATCCCCAAAGCCCCCTATGTCCCTGCCCCTGATATGCCTGGTGGTGAAACCAATCAGTATCAGACCAAAATTAACATGTAAGAAAGTTGCTCAGAAAGTAAATATAAATGTCAGAGGTAGAAAAAAATAATGAGGACATTTTGGTTATAAAAAGGCACTTGGCATTTTGCCATTGGCCAATGGCCAGATTCATTAGTGGCCTTGAACCTTCCTCACTTCTCTTCCTGTTTTTGTTGCTTTTTCAGAAATTCCATCACTTCTGATGAAGGAACTCTGAAAGCCAACGGCCTAGATGCTGTTTTAGGCCCTGACATTTGCAGTGTCTCTATTGGTACAAACTCAGTTCATAGTTTTCTCATATTCCTGCCCCTGCATCACCAAGGGGGTATGCAGCATGTCCCACCAAACTGTTCACTGTAGAAGATGAGAAATAACACATATAGAAAGGCCTCTTTTTGAAGTAAGACTGAGGCAAAGTACACAATCTTAGCTCTTCAAATACCCAAACACAGAGTGCCACACTTTCCTATGTTTTTTATTTTTTCTTTGTGTTGTTTTCTGTGCATAAGATAGAACCCAGGGTCTCAAATGTGCTGGACAAGCACTCAACCCCAAGCTACATCCACAGCCATGTTTCTGAGGCTTTTACAGAATTGTAGGCCCATATCTTGCACCATCATCAGTGTATTCCATAGCAGCTGAAAATTGGCAGAACAAGAATCATTTGTTATTTGAGATTTCTAGAAACTAAAATGAGGTGGAGGAAGAGTTAAGTAGTGTAAAAAAATAACTTTTGTCTGGCTGGATCTCCTTAAATATACTCCTGCTTATTATATAAATACTAATGCAATAGACCTATTTGGGAAAATAACCATGCTAACTCTCAGAATGTATCTATTAATAGTGATTTTTCTTAAATACTCAACTACTAGCTGTGGGGCCAGTGGCCCCCCCAAGGAACACATCTGTGCCCCTGGTAACTTGCAAGCTGAACAGAACAGGGAGTGCTGATGAGAACACACAGCTGCTGTTGGCTTCCCTGCATGTCCTTTCTGGAAGAAGCAAAAGAATCCTAGGAAATAAGCAACCTGGGCTCTAGTCTTAGATCTGTCAGTGACCAGCTAGATGGTCTTGGGGACTATATCTAGTCTCTCCAAGTCTTGATTTTTTCATCTGCAAATTAAAAGCTTAAGAGCTTAAAATCTCCTTAATGCTCCCTTCTGGCCCTGAACTTCTTTAAGTTCAGTATGCAGAGCCAGCAAGCGATTGCATAACCCTCATGCATGTGCTCAGGGCAGATGTGACCACTGCCACTGGAAAAGCGCAAGGGGCAGAAATGACATAAACTGATGCTTGTTGGAGCAGCGTCTGAACAGCTGAGGACTACAGCTCCTGTGAATTCCACATGCCCTTTCTACCACGAGGACGGGATACAGAGAAAGGAGAGTCTTTTTCCAGGGAAAGTGAAGGGAAAGCAGAAAACCAGCCTGATTCAAGAGTTCCAGAACAGAAGAGGTGATGGGTGAGAACTGTGATGATTTGAGATCCAACAAATGCACTGCTGAAGTCTTTGCGTGGGTAGGAAGATCTACCCAGTCAGGGGTCTCCCATCACCGGTGACCAGCATGGTCAGCAATTTTCAAAATTCTTTGAGCCCTGTTACCCTGGTGGCACCAGCACCATTGATTAGAGAACCAACAGTCATTTTCCCCTCACTCCCTCCCTTCCTGCCCTCCTACACCAAATGTCAAGCCACCATGAGCTCCAGGTACATGGGGTTCTTCGGCAGACTCCAAGCCCAAAGTTGAAGACAGAGATCTAGGTGTTAAATATCTAGGTGCCAGATCTAGGTGCCTGAACCAACAGCCAGGTCTTAATTTTAATGTCTTGATTACATGTGCCAAGACCACAGCTACCTAGACACAAATTACTCAGCCAGCTTTCCAGAGGGAGTGGCCCTTAGTTGGTTGCCAGGTAAGTCAATATTCCATGATTGCATTTCTCGTAATTGCTTCAATACCTAAGTGTCCAAGAATGGGAAAGTTAGAGCCAGCTGCAGTGAGAGCTAATCATGTACTCCTACCATGTTCTTAAAAGGACAAGCCCGGTGTAACAGATTCCTGCAAAGGAAACTCACTGGACTGCCATGGCTTCTGTCAGGATAGAGCCAGGCCAAATTTGTCTGTGTGTTTTGTTAGCTTGCTTACTTCTTGATGAGAGGGAAAAAAAGAATTGTATTTCTTGTGCTTTCTGTGTTTTTGAAGTTTTTCACCTCTTAAAACATTACTTTTTGGTGAGGAAAACAAGCCATAAATCTTTTAATGATGGTGCAAACTAAGAGTTTGATACATCTTAATCCTATAAACCTAAGAATTTCTTTTAGAACATGATATATAAAGTGAAATGTGTATATGTGTGCATATATATTTTAAGAGAACTAGTAGCTAGCATAGCATTCCAGAGGAAAAAATGTGCATATTGATTTCTCCCAATGAGATATTACCTGGGACTTGCAGCCACGGTGGGACTTTGTAGTTAGACTACTTTATCATTAACCTTTCTCCCTGTGTAAATTCACAAACTTCTAACTATACCGTATGCTTGAAGCCTCAAGTCTGGTACAAGCATTTATTTTGACATTGAACAGCTCTGTTTTATTTCTAGTATTCTCAAAGTTTTGGGGACAGCATGTTCCTAAACTCTGTCACACACTTCAAAAGCCTTCCTGGGTCTTAAAAACAGACTCTTTCCTCAGTCTAAACTCATTTTTCTGCCTGGTCCAGGGACACAGAGAAAGCTGGCCAGTGTTCTCTGAGGTTCCACCTCACTGTCCAGAGGTTGTTAATTTTTTCTTCCTTCCACCTTCTCTTTTCCAGGATAAACAACCTACCTGCTTTCCTATGTGCTTGGTCTCCAATTCCTCTTATCACAGTCCCCTTTCTATATGTGGATTCTATGTGTTATGGTTGAAACATTGTGTCAACTTGGGGAGTCTAGAGGTTTGGCTAAGTGACTCAGCAGGAAGCCAGGATACTTACTTTGGATACATCCTGAGCCTGTGAAAGAGGAGGGCAAAGATTATGAGAGCTACACGCCCCTTAGGTGGGGGTAGCCTGTTTACAAAGTAAAGCAGAGAAAGAAGCTGCTTGCCGCCATTCCTCCGGTTTGCTCTGGCTCTTTGCTGTTCGGCTGCCATTCCCCGCTTTGCTCTTGTTGCTTTGCTATCTTCTGCCTCGGAGCCAGCCAAGTATGGACTGAAACCTCCACAAACTGTGAGCTAAATAAACCTTTCCTTCCTTCATTTTGGGTGTTGGGTATTTTGTCTCAGCAACGAGAGAAAAGTAACCAAGACACTATGCAATTTTCATACATATGTTTTCAGTTACAGACCCAAAGTGTAATATTAAAAAAAAGGCCTGACCTCTGATGAGTTGTACACTAGATTATTTTCCAGCTGCAAATGATGCTGTCTTAACACAGGATAATACTACTTCCCAAATGCCAATATAAAGTGAAACACTCAAGACTTGTGAAATGCTAGATCTTCCCAGCCAAGTTTATTTCAAATTGTACTCTCTGTGTATATATCTTCTTTCACCACCAACTACCCCCTAAAGGAAGTTGCTGTTAACAAATTTGTGTTTTAGCTTTTCCAGGGGCTTCTACTTTAAAGTTAACTAATTACTGTGCCTGTACCTATCTTTCAGCTCTAAATAAACACCATGCCTCTGCTTCTCTTTCTTGATTTTTTTCACCTCAGGTACTCAGAAGCTTAACTTCTCTCCATGAAAGATGAAATTTTACCCATCTTTATGCTTTCCTTCCCACCTCATGTCTTCCCAATTTGAGTTAATTCATGAATTTTTAGCTCATCAGTTGAGAAACTCTATAATAACTTCAAATGATTTATCTATACCTCCATGTTTGGATCTAGCAGCTTTAGGAAATAATTACTGATCTTAACACTCTCAGAGAAGAAAGTTAACATACCTCACCATCTCTGGACTTCTGTCAAGGAATAGGTTTTACAGCTATCATATTTTCTAGCTGTTTTACAAATATTATGGCTTCTGATATTATTGTTATAAAAATGTTATTTATTGCAGATACAGGAAGATGGAGTCCTCTGTCTCCAATCTCATGCTATTCAAAATACAATGTTCCAGGCATCACAATCAGATGGAATCTCTATTCCTAAACTCCAAAACCCATCAAAATCCTACTGCAATTTACCTTTTATTTGAATCCTGGATTTTAGGTAATGTTATAAACACTGTAATAGTTGCAAACAGTTCAAACAAGCAAACTTCAAAAACTGGTTGTAAGGAGCTAGGGTTAATTCTCAAAAGGAAAAGCTAAATATGGATCCACTGCAAACTTCCAATATATTTAGACTATGAAACTATAGGGAGGCTGAGAACATTCAGTACTGGAAAAGAGAATCTAATTGACCCAGCTTGGGTCACAGGTGAGAGCCAGGGCACCTTGACTTATAATTTCAAGAAAGTTGTATAGAATGAGCAGAGAGGATGATTCTCCAAATCAAAGTCAAGATGCTGTCACCAGGAAAAAGAACAGAAGCAACATGAACAAAACAACAGCATGAATGATTACAATAGTGCTTGTTACATGTTAGTTCATGAATAATTTAGAAATTATCCATTTGATGTCCTCCTTCTCCATCAGATTTTATGTACCACAAGGACAGTACATATACTATTTATTCTGCTAATCCACATGCTTAGGAGAACATCTGCACGTAGTAAGCACTTCTTGAATATTGTGGAATAAAAGAAATGTTAGGGGCTGTTGGGATATACTGTAGGTATAGTATTTGTAATAGTTAATTTTATTAGCAACTGTTTTCACGTGGCTGAATTACATATCAAATAAGAGAGTGCTTTGTCCAAAGGCATATTGCTGTGGAGGAATGCAGCTATTTTCTGTTACAAGAATGGTACCTCTCCAGATGTCTGGATCATGACAAGATCATAATCTTATCTACATGCTGCCCAAACATATGACAGTGCGGAAGTACCTGACCCAAAGTACTGGCCAGCAATTTGAATTTTCATTATCCACTCAGGATGTCAGACTTGCAGGCCCGGGGAATTTTTGCCTCTAGCACTTGCTCATATCAAATCTGCCCTTCTGAGGACTTTACCAGGCTCCTCACTCCTCTCCACGGCACTTTGCCTACCTCTTAACAGCACTTTTGTAGCACAATAGCTGCTTCTCCAGCTATACAATGGGCTCAGAAGAAAGTGTGTCTGGTGCATGTTTGTATCCCAGAGCCTAGCTCAGGGCTAGGCAAATGGGAAGGAGTCAGTAAATGTTTAGTGAACCTAAGTAACTGTCAGGAAAGAAAGTCTTAGACAAAGAAATATAATGAATTTATAGAAACACCATGAGTTTACAGAAACACCAGTCTGGACTCCAAAGCAAAAAATACTTTATCTTTATCTAGAATAATAAAACCCACAAAAGGAAAGAAAAGGAAGGAAGGAAGGAAGGATGGAAGGAAGGAGAGCTTTAGTTCTCTAAGCTGTAGAGAAGTTTTAAGTTCTTTTTCCAATAAACCCACTCATGCACTAATCATTCTAAATCAAATTTAGACAAAAGAAACATCAAAGAGTGCAAAACCATCCTCTTCAAGGGGCTCATTTCTTCTTATCCATCAGGAGAACATTAACGAGGAAGGTTCTGCAGGAGTCACTAATTTCTCAGCGTTGTCAGAAATGTAGTTTCACTTTGCAGAGGCTGCTCGTGGCCATGCTTGTAAAATTCGTAATTCATCTCTAGACAATAACTAATTATTACTGATTACTAAGAAATAAGTCAACAAAGATATTTTCCTGTTTACATTCTTATCAGACTGTATCAGAACCATCTGTTTTCAAGTTTGTTGTTGCTGAGCTTTTTTTTCATCCCAAGGGATACATTCTCCACATTGTTCTCTGAACATACGCATGCAAAACTGCCTCTTAATGTACAATTGCAGTTTTCGCTGAAACATTTGAGTGGGGGAGGAACCCCACATAGTCTGTGGGAAAAATGAAAAGAATTAGGTATTTCATAGAATTTATCTTCAAACAAAGGCTATGTCAGGATCTGCCCCTCCTCTAATTACTATCTTCTTATTTCTGTGGGTGATTGTTGACTTTGCTAGCAATATATATGTGCAGCTTTATGACACTAAAGTCTCTACAACCCCGAAAATATAGTAAGAGGTGCAAGGAGCACAAAAAAGATTCTACAATTTCATAACCAATAATATGTGACCCCTGTCTGCCGTTGCTCATCAATACCCATCTCTTGACAGCAACTGATTTCCCTTTTTTGAAGAGAAGTATAATTGCTCCACTGCCAAGGAAGCAAGAGTGTGAGACTTAAATCGTGGCACTCAACACATTACTACATGGCTCTGGGCAAGCAATTAACCTCAGGGTCTCAGTTACTTCATCTGTAAAATAGGGATAAGGGTTTCACACAGGTGTGACGCCTGGACGAATTAGTATAATTATCATTATTGATGGGAAAATAATGTTGGTCACTGATACTATATCTCATGTTAGCATGAGGAATCATTTATATCTCCTCTACATTGGACCAGTTTTATAGGTCTGTACAAATAAAAAGAAAAAGAGAATGACAAAAACAAAAAAAATATGGAAGCTGAGACATTACAGTTAAACTGGTTCATCTTTACACAGGCTGCTGTCTTAATGGATTTGGCACTTAAATGTTTTCCAAACTTAAGACTAAATATGTGAATTACAACAATGCAAGGATATTTTTTCAAGCTCTATCATCAACTGGTAAACTGCCTTGCAGCAAAATGCTTTCCAGTTCATGAGTACGTGACAATGTGACAAACTGGTAGAAGGCAGGGCTAAAGTCATAAAATTTTAAGTAATCAAAGTCAAGTAAAAATATACACCAAAGACATCGTTCACTCTCTACCGTTAGGTGCATCTGCCCCACAAGAACCCCACCTTTTAATACCCAGAAACCAACCAGCACAACACATGAGGTACATGACGCTCAAGCATTTCGAGACTGGCGGTACTGAAGTTGGGGACAGTGGGCTCTCCATACATCACAGCTGAGGTACTGACTCATGAGTTAATGAAAGAGACAGATGGAGGAAGACGAAAGTGGTGTTTCTCTTGGTTCTCAGCCAAGACGCTAGCTGCTGTTACTGTGATTCCTAGGTCAGGAATGTCTACTTTTTTAAAACTATCTTTACATGGCAAAAGTGACGATGAACCACAGAGGGAAATATAAAGGGTCGAAGGCACTCAGAAGCTTGGTGCTCCATCCCATAACCTCCATATCCCCTGGGGCAGGTTCCTGCTTGTCCCAGATAGGAAACTTCCCTTGGCTTCTCAAACCAGGAGAGTTCCTCGCAGCAGAGAATTATCTTTTTGTAAACTGAGTAGGCATCAAGACTCCAGTCTCCCATGTCTCTGAATACATTAGCCTCCTGTCAAGTTGTTCATACTAAGGATTCTAACTCCTGTCCCATGCTTACCTCAAAGTTATTGGGAACGATTTTCCAACTGAAAGGCTGAGGGCCACTTTCTTTTCCACATCACCCTCACCTACCACACCAAACACAACAATTAGCATTTTTAGCAGGATTGAAACTGCTAATACAACTTCTCTGTGTCCTACACCATTAAACTTGATTAGAAATTCCTTCATGATTAACATTCATCTCGCTGGATCGCGCTTGAAGGTTAATAATATTCGCCATCTCCTGAGACAGAGAGAGGGGATAATATTTATGAAGTGAAGAGCAGCTGGTGACAGTCAGGAAAGGACATTTCCAGCTTGGTCCGCTAGAGGGTGGCGTGGCTGAGCCGAGGGAGGCAGAGGTAGAGACAGCTCCCCCAGCGCTGCTGGCTGCACTTGAGGTGGGAAGACAGCAGCTCCAGGATTCCTCCTCCTCTGTAGGCTTCCTTTCCAACAAAGTCACTTCACAAACGGCAGAAACCCGTGGTGACCGGGCCATAACGTGACGGGGAAAGACAACCTACACCATTAGACTGCCTAAAATACTAGCCAGTTTAATTCTTCTTGAACCACTGCTGTGCGAGATAGACACATAACAGGATCCCGAGTTTAAAACTTTCTGGTGCAGTATGTGTGTATGTGCGCTATAGGCAAAGTGTCTACATTATATACAATGCACAAAGGAAGGCACCTAGCCTTTAGCACACCAGCTGTTTCTGCTTATGAGCCTGAATTATCCTGCAAATGTAGTAGGACATTTTGTAGTAAATATCCTACTTGATTGACTTTTTTAGGCCTAACCACTTAAGCTGATTTGTATAATTTAGGAAGAAACATAAACGTGAGCAATGAAAGACAAACCTTACAAATTTCCCTTCTTTCTTCTTTCTTTGTTTCTTTCTCTCATGTTATATTGTAAAGAAACAAAAGGTAGGGAACAAGCCTGTTTTGGTACACTCTATATAGGTGGTAAAGCGAAATAGAATATGTCTTTCCTATCTGTGATATTGTTCAGTGTAGCAAACCCTTTAGCTTGTTACAGTACAGTAAATGGGGTGTTTAATTTGGGATTCAATGTAGTCTAGAGTCAAGGTGCAGCAGTTTTATTATAGAAATACAATTTTATTGGAGGCTGAAGATTTAATTTCCACCTTACGTAGACAGCCATAAACGGCCATGCCTATTTTACATTTGGATAGCATTTGATATATGAAATTCCTGGCCTAATTTTAGGGCTTAAAATGTGGAAGAGCCACAATACGTAGATTACAGCCCTTCAACGTTTCGGCCACAGATGACATTTAAAAATGAACGGTTTTCTGTTTCTCCATCATGGGTTTGGAGCATTTTGCCCCTGCTCTGTCTGAGCTCCCTGTCGCATGGTTCCTGCCTCCTCCTCCCCCTGCGGTGAGCACAAAGCCACCCACAGAGCACCTTAGTGTCGCAGCAAATGCGTTCTTTGTTTAAATTTGTCTGCTAGATGACGTTTGACTTCCAAATAAGATGGCCAGATGATATGGGTGGTTTGCCTTTCATTGTTCTTAAAATCTGTCAAGACCACACCTTAATAACTGTTCAGATGTATGTTCAGTACTTG